TTATTATTATGACAGTATTATGATGGTATTTACAACTAATAACTAGCTGGTTGTTACAGTACTTCAAGTTTCTCAGCTGTGGTATGAAAGTATTGAAAGAAAATCTCATAACATAAAATCTARCATAACCCTTACAACTGTTTAGTTTATGGCTGTAGTGGACAATAAAAATGTATGATTGCTAACTAGAAGGGAAAAGAGATTATTAGTTGTCTTGATGACACACAAGGAAAAAGAGAGGTTGTCAAGATCTTTTAGGTGGCAACTTATTCTTTCATATCAGCTGCATTAGGCCRTTCATCTTTTCTAAGACAGTAACGGCTCATTTATCATGTGATCAGTCACAGGCGAAAAAATTTCCAGTCATTGGAAAGTATCTGTAAAGTTGCTTCCATCTCCTCTCAGCTTTGTACACTTTGCCTTTTCTCACAACCCCAAGCTCAAAATACAGGCTACTATAGAGCCCTAATGGAAGCGCGTGTTTATTAAAATGGCTGATACCTATAACAAACATGCTGACGTTGGTAAACATGACAAGACAGAAAGTGTGAGGAAATCCACATCAACAGAATTGTTTGTGTTCTTAAACAATGTCAGCTGCAGCTATTCGTATACATTTGATCTAGGTATTGTTKAATCTCTCAGCATCTTAATAAGACAGCATTCTCAGCATACCATCTGCAATGAAGTCCTGATGAAGGCAGAGTATGGCTGCCTGCCAGCCTCCCTTTCTGCTCTGCAATCTGCCCATGCGATGGGAGGTAGAGTAGGCAGTGCTGCAGCCTACTTCTCTCCCTCGATTACATGCTTGCTGACTAACCCCCACTCAAAAAAAAAAAAAAAACCACTGGATATGCCACTGCAGTTCTGCCACAAACCCCGAGTCACCATAAGCTCCTTCGGGTGACATTGGCATAATGAAAAGCCCAAGGATATAGAGTAAAAAGTACCGGAGATTTAACACAAAGCTTCTTTTTTGGTAGAGTGTGAGAGATGAAGAACAAGCGAGCCATATCCAGAAGGGACACTTGATCTTATAGAAGATTCGTACAGGCTTAATCTAATGAGGCTGATAAGACTGACAGACACGATTTGAGGAAAGTCAGAGAGCTTGCTGGAAGAACAGATTTATTTTGTCACGAGCCGTCTTATTGCTGGGTCATCAAACAGTTGTGCTAATGTCAGCGGGGACTGTGTTCATCTGCTAGCTGGAATGGGACATACAGTAAGGAGGCAGCTTCGCAGTACCGGATGACTCACAATCACAAGTATGCAGTTTGAATGACATGAAACATCACAAAGGTCTTCTTYTTTGTTGTTATTTTTATATACATTCTTTAAATCCACGAGGAAGCCCTCAGTTAAACAAAGTACCCACAGATGTATTAAACCAAATAAGTTTGATGTTTATGGATCTATTAACATTTTAATCTTCCCAYGTCAAAGCTAGGAGAATTTTATTAACCTGTTTTTTAAGCACACCCCTTTGTTTATCAGCAAATGTGTTTTCACACATCCTGCACATGTTGCAAAACAGCACATCCTAACAGTTCACAAGCCAGATAAAAAGCTTTGTCATCTACACTTTTTTAAATTATTCTCAAGAGTCCTGTAACATGATGCCATAAGTGACAAAACTTAAYAGCAAATTGCAAATTTTGGCAACTGAACTATATGAATAAAAAGAAAACCTCACGAAGTGAATGAATTACTTCCCTCCATAACATTTTATTTATCTTTTAACAAGCACTACACAWAAAGGTTTGTGTAAATTCAGAGATAACATAATCATAAACTGCACAGGAACACACACATATCTGTCATAAAACACTGAATGTGATGAAGCTTAKTTTGKCAGGTTAGGCTGTCGAATGACCCCTGGGTCTCTAACTGAGCTTTTCTCACATGCAGGCTGCTCAGGCATGTAGGCCCCTTCAGAGGAGGAGGCATTTCAGGCTGTAGGCCCTTTATTCCCTTTCAGACTGTTTGTCCCCAACCGTCCACTATTCAGATTGCTCGCTCTGCTGCTTTGTTTTGCAAAGACCCCTGAAGGAAGACCACATGGGAGAATGTRGTACACCAAACTTTCTCTCTTTTTTTTCCACACAGACCTGCAACAGTTCAACATGTGGTGTATGTTCTTGTGTGCGTAGCTGCAGACTACTTACTTGTAGTGTTGCCTTGCATCTGAATGATACATTTGGACTCCTTGCTCGTCTCCCGGGAGTTGAAGGGACGCACTCGAACGGCGACTTTTACGGACGCCCCAGACATGTTTGCTGTTCAGGACTTTYCCCCCAGTGAGATTGCTTGTATATCCCCTCCTAAAGAAAGCATAAGACACATGTATCTTTTTTTGTCAAAAGACATTTATGCACTTCCTGCTAAACTGATAAATAAGCTGCACGTATGTTTCTGCATGTGTAATTTCCGGGAGTAACAGACAGCAACAAATATGGCTGAACAAAGCCAGTGTAGCCATAACGTTGTGTAAGCAGCCGTCAATCTGTCAAATAAAAAGTAAAATTGCATTTTAATAATTGATCCCCATTCTATGGGAATTATGTTGTGGCAAAACAACATTGCGATTCTTGTCATTATTTGTGCATGGTATAATGGTAAGATGAAAACACTACTTCAATGTGTTGGTGGTCATAAACCATACATCCTGGTGACTAATGAGTACATAATCTAAACATGTGAGGGGGTTTCTCCCTAAATTCTTGCAGTCAGCCATACTTGCTGAAGCATACGCCCATGAAATTCTATCTTCCTCTTTTGGTGTGGGCTAACAGCAGGACAACGAGCCGGGCCTGTCTCCTTGCATATGTGATACTGCACAAAAACAGCTTATACATATCCGATTTTGACAAATTAAATTCGCCGATGGTAAGAAGTGGGCTAATCCTCCTCTGTATGTTGTGGAACAGTGCAAGGAAAGAGTTACATGCTTATATATGTGTAGCACAAACTGAACACATTATTCACGTTGATCTGCTGTACGAAAAATGTATATAAAAAAGCCCGTTTGATGTTGAATTATATCTGTGGTTTTGCACGATAGCTTCATTAAAACACAGAAAGGTTAGCGGCTGTCGCTTATTATGCTGACACAACCAACCTCTAGTGGGGTTAACAGCTATCAATGTGTAAACAAATATTGTCTATGTACTATAACCACAACACAATTTGTTAATTAAACGGCAAAAAATAATTACCTTTATCGTAACCAGCTGTAAATTGTGCCGTATGACTAATGGGCTGTGATACTAGCAGCTGTTCAACAGCAAAAATACACCCGTAATAATAAAAATGACAGCAAAACCAGTGAAACTTCATATATATAAACAATTTTATCGTTCATACTCACGTTTATAGCACCGGACAGTCAGTGGCGTGAACTAGCTTTAGCTTGCGCGAGACAGGATGTGTTGATTTTTTTTTTTCTTAAATCAGAATCTGCACGAATGTAAACAGCTACAAAGTCCATTTCCGTGAAAAACACCCATTATAGCCGTATCCTCCGCCGGATGGATACGTAATTAATAACGGCGACTCCTTTTAACGAGTTTATTTTCTCGTAGCGGCGGAAAACAGGCGACTATCTGCACTCGGGCGAAAATGGAAATCGACGGATCGCCTTGATTTACCGAAGAGATTACGTCAACTCCCTCTCCAAGCGTGCTGACTGACAGGCTTCGAGCAGCCAATGAGCGTAGAGGTATGGTTGACTAATGCGTCTAACAGCCAATAAGATGCTTTGGAGACGGAAACCGGAGGGGAGTGGGTGGGACTTATCGCTCCATTTTTCGATCGTGACGCCACACTGCAGGATTTCTACCCACTGTTCCCCGCACCGCTGTCACCGCATACAAGGGTCACCGCAAAGAGCGCACCCCAGCGAGAAAGTGACGGTACCACATCCCGGTATGTTCAACTTACGTCTAAAACTATGGATGCAGCTAAATAAGTCAAGCAAAAACAAAACAGTCTGATTTTGTCTTTGACATATGATGTAGAAAAAACACAAAATGAAATGTAAACAAGATATTTAATCAAAAAAGTGATAAATATTACCATTACCTTACACTACTACAACAGGACTCAAAAGATGACTAAATTACACAAATAATGAACAGAAAAGATCAAAATAACAGTAATTTAATAAAAATCCCCTAAATGTTTATGAACGTGATTCAGTCAGACAYCAACCAGTTACAAATTGTATCTGTATGTTTTTTTTCTAAGACCATATATTATCAGTTGACAAAAAATGTGAGGATGTGTTTGTGACATTTGCCTAATTAATCTGCAGATTTCATGGTTATGATTTTTGCAACACATTTGAAAAACCTAAGTACCAACGGGACGGTCATTTCCTGTTTGGCCATTCCTAACACTAAGGTACGCCTTTAGGACAGTTGCTAGTTAACTTTAGGTATTAATTATTTAAGCAAAAAGAACAAACACAGATGGGAAAACACTTTCAAAAACAAACTGCATTGCCAGGAAGACTTGAAACATGTGATCACAAATTATGTAAATTATTGTCCATATTTACATTTTTCAACCATTTCAGTCATTTTTAATTGATCTGTTTACCTATTTATCAATAAGCTTAAATTGTATAAATTGTATAAACTCTCCTGTCTTTACAATTAAGTTGATAAGATCAAATTCATTATTTTAAAAACTGTGACCTGTGAAATCTTATTTAATTTCTAAATTATGGCATTCAGTTATTTTTTAAGTTATTGACTGTCCAGTAATAGTAGTAGTAAAACATACAGTAGTAAAAAAGTAATGTTGGATAGAACACAATAATTTTAAATGGACCAAACTTGGGTAAAATTACCTTTAAAAATATTTGTTTTAATATGCCTTTCTGGTGGAAAGCTACATATTTTAGTCTGTTAAGCTCTTCTCTGATATTACTTGGAAAAAGCCTGAGGGAGACAGTATCTTGCAGTCAGCAGGGGAAATATGTTCAAAACAGTTAAACCTGGCTGACCATAATGTTTTCTGTTAAAGAACTGATTTTTACGATTTGTTTATGTTGTGCTACATTTTTTAATGGTTCCAGTTGCAATCTGTATAGATACAAACTGTGCACAAGTTAGATCTGGGACACCAGCTTAATTTGTTTAGGCTCAAGTGTATTATTATCTTGATAGAGTTAAAAAAAATAATAATAATTAAAAAATCAAGGCCAGCCACTCACTTCAACTCTCCAGCAAATAATTCTAAGATTTCAATAAGGCCAACAATAATACAAAACTATTTAGGAGCTATAAATTCAAATAAAGAACAGGTTGCATGCACTGCCATTAAATCTGTTGTTAAAAATTACTTTGTGTCATGTTTTAATACCTAAACCAAATACTGTTAAATGCATCTCATTTTTTGATACATAAAGACAAACTCGGGAGAGAAAACTTAAAAGTCTTTACTTTATTATGCTTCACTTTTAGAACCATGATAATGGTTTGAGACAAAAAGGRTAAATGCGAATAAAAATCCAATCAAGTCGTCTCCCCACTTCCCCGTTTCAAAAAGTTGTTCTCATTGGTAGCTGTGACATTGAATGCGGGAAATTTAGACAGATCGCTTCATGACTGACGTTAGTCCTCAGACAAGTCGTCCTCCCTGCTTCTCTCTCATCCAGGCATGGATTCTCTCCTTTAATTCAGGCACTGCAGAATAAACAACGTGGTGAAAAGCAGTTGAACAACAAAAGCAATGCATTTTGAAGTGAATCAAAGCAGATAACTGCGCTGAAATCACTTGCTTCAAACAAAAACAACTTGTTCTTTCATCTTTTCGTTTTCTGAGCAATAAAAGGCCAKCTTGCTGATTTTACCTGGCTCCAGCATGCTCTCTGTGAGTGGCTGCCTGTTGAAGGGGTCAGTGGGGGAGTTGAGCAGGTGGCGCAAAATGATGGATCTGTCCATGATGTTCCCCGAAGGCAGCATCACAGGGTCGGTCATCAGGGTGTCCATCAGAGGGTCTGCGGTAACACGCATTTCATCAACAAATAGGACAGGAACACGCCGGAAAACAAAAACCTACTTTAAATTGATAACAATTCATGCAAGTCCGTTATAAACACAGTAACAGGTGAGCTTAAAGAGCTGGAGGTAAAAGAAAAGCAACTGTTATATAACAGTTATTTTTATATGAGTGCACCTATCAAAACACACATAAACCAAAAATCCAATAAAAACTCAGGGAGGTTTTGTATATTAAAATGTCACAAGGTTGTTAAAGTAGGGGGGAAGGGGCTGTGCGTTACAAAAATAAAACTTGTCGTGTAATATTGTAACCACAACGACAGCTGATCCTTTAGCCTCCTGTACGGCACACTCCCCTCGACTGTGGTGGGTTGGCAGACATATCTAAAAATCAAAGGTGGCATGCAGACCACATTCTCGTTCTGGATTATATTAAGTCTGTGGTTACAGGATAGCCTTGCTTTAAGCTGTCTATATGATCTGTATGAGCTGCAAAATCAGCTGCAAATGTCTGGAATTTACTGACGACCCTGTCTGTCAGGGAATGACCTGGGGTTGCACTAAAGAAACTTTGTCACCCCCTAAAGACAAAAGGTCCAGTAACAGACTGAATGTAGATTAGGTTACCAGAAGTTGAAGTTTCTACCCTCTATTCACATCTTTCCAGTTTTATATGGATACATTTATTATGAGTTTTAAACTGATGTCTGTTTTTGAAGTAGAGATAAATACCATTTCACTGAAGGAGAAAGATGAACTCCTTCCAGCACTTTAAAATTGTTATCAGACACCAAAACATATCGGCCATGCCACAACAAACAYACACACCTTTAAACTCATCAGGTGCATCGCTGTAGTCCATTTCAGACTGGGAGTTCTTAGCAACTATTTCCTCCACCTTCTCTGATAGCAGCTTGAATTTCTCAATGGCAATAGAGGACTTAATACCAGCCTTCCTCATCTTTGAGATCACCTCCTCGAACAGTTCACGGCTGTATGATCGCTGCAGAGAAATGAAAAAAAAACATCTTTAATGGGTTTTTGAGGTGAGTATTCCATATTTTACAGGCAACAAACCCKCAACATGTCCTGTATGAACAAAACTACTGGTTAAAAGGAGAAAGATGAACAAGTCCAGCAACATTTTATTCACATCAAGACAAAGAGTTACAAAGGACACATGCATTATTAGATKTAAGTGTGCTAACACAGCTGAGGACTTTAAGTTATCAAAGCTTTGTGATTGAGGTCAAAACATATTTGTGGTGAAACGTTAACACTTCTCCAGTTGTCAGTACTAACCTGATCATCTGCAATAGCTTTAGCAAAGCGAGCACAGTCTAGCTGAAGGTAGATGTCAGTCAGCTGGTCTAACAGCTTCTTGGGCTCGAAGCCGTACTTCTCAGGGTTCTCCACCTTCAGGTCCCGACACTTGGGCCCACAGAGCTGCTGAAGGTTAAAGTTCAACATGGCAGCTAAACGAGGCCCCAGCTCCTGTGTGAATAAGGAGAATTGTTTAGAATATAGTTTGGTTTGAAATGTCTCAACTGGACTGAGAGTTTTGCTTTTATGTTAACAGCTATTAACTCATAAGAAAAATGCAGTGGAAGTTGTAGAGCATTGACTACATGCTATGGAAACAGTGACACTCACAGGCCTGAGGAAAGGYTTCTGAACCTGCTTGGTGAGAATGTGGAACATTTCAACCGTTTCTGTGGCCAGAGCTAGATAGGAGCGAGACACTCGCTCATCCTGAGTCAGCTGGGACTGCCGGCTCTGCTGCTGCTCCTGAAAGATTGACAAAAAAAAAAAAAAGATTAATGCTGTTCCAATCCAGAACTTGTGCCACAAGTTTTCACAACTCAGTACAACCATCACCTGTATACAGGGGACAGATATAACCATCAAATATTAAACAGTGAAGGCATGATTGAAGCACATTAAAAAGAAGTGTTACTAAAGGGGCACTTAGCTTGAAGAAAAATAYGACAACATAGGGGAATGTGTCCACCTACATGTAAATTAAAGTTTTATTATTCCACCCACAGTTTACAACTGCTGTGACCTTAACTAGGATTTAGCAATTTCAGCTTTTGACCTATTTGAAGATTTATTTCCCCCAGGTGCTCTTTTTTGCAATGTGTTTTTATTGCTATGTGTAATTTTTGTAAAATAMACAATAATAAAATAATAAAAAAGYACAAACCCTGGGCAGCTGATCCCAGTGCTCCTTGTTCTTCATCTCTTCTTGAACTTCATGAATACGCTTCAGGGAATCAAGGCTCTCATCCAGCAAGAAGGTGGTGTCATTAATCAGCATGTTGATGTAGCGCACAAACTGCTTGCCAGAGCTAATGTACAAAAAGCGCGCACACACACACACACACACACACACACACACACACACACACACAC